GACCATTCTCACACCCCCTATCCTCTTCATTACTAGTTCAAGTAACAATGATAATCTAATAAATACCATAGATACACATTTAAACATAAAAATATGTAATGTATGACTTTTTTTTTTTTAACGTATACCTCCACAATATAGTTATAATTACTTTTTATTAAATTTATTTTTAGGAAAATAATGAGCAATATATTGTATGATTTTTATTTTCATATCTATTTTTAAAGTTGATTCTGAAAACTTAGATCATCATGATACTTGAACATCATGATTGAACCATACCAAACGTGAAATATTGTGAGGTAGCTGACATTGAGCTGTTTCAGGGCCAATCGGACTTTTTTTCCCTCAGTCGCTAGTTTTAGTTTTAAAAATAAAAAAATACCAAAAATTCATTATGCTTTACATTTAAAAACAACTTTGCAAGGCTAATCATCAAAATATATAACTACGAAAAATTTTGTTTCATTAATTTGAGTTATAAATTTTTAAAATGACTAGAGGGATTATCTTTACTCGACTATCCGGTTTATATTCGCCATCTTGGTCCCATTTAACGACCAGATGAATCTCGTAAATGTATCTTAATTTTTTTTCTTCGTATAGTAATTTAATAATATATTACTAATTATCTTAAACATATATACTAGGAGGTTACAATATGTTTGTGAAAAATATACATCAAAATTTTGTTACTTTTTTACATCACAGATATTTTAATATAATATATTTTCATTTAATCTTAAAACTTTGCCCGTCTCATTAATTAACTCATCACACTGAATCATTAGCACATCGTCTATGATTACAAAAAGTGATAGCTCGATCGATTTTTAAATAAAAAATTAAAATATCACGAACGATTTAATATATAATTTTAATATTTAAATAATACGTTAAAAGATTTTTAATTTATTTTCAATTTTCAATGCATTGATTTTATTTAGATTTAATATCCTAACTATATTTGGCATTGAATATTATCAATTTAATAATTTACTTCGAAAGGCTATCTCTTTTGTAAATCAATTTTCGATAGTATCTTTCCTGGTGATTTAATTATTTTTAAATAAAATAAAAAAGTCTTTAGTTACAATTTATAGTTTTAAATATCTTAATTTCATATTGAAAAAATCAAATTTTTATATGAATTATTTTTATTTCAGTTAAATGTCGATTGTCAATAACTCGACATAAATATATTTATATATATATATATATTTATAATAATAATAATAATAATAATAATAATAATATTAAACTCGATAACTGTATCGTTTTTTTGCAATTAATCATAATGATAACTAATAACGACAATCAATGATATATGTATACCATAATATAGATTTCACATATAACGATATTTTCATTTTTCCTTAAAAGTTTGAAGAAATACTTATTAAATGGATCAGAATATGGTATCACAATAAAAGAAGAGTTGTTTGTAATAGTAAGATCGAAAATTACTAAGAACTAGGTGTAATTTTTTTTTTTGTATCATTTTTCGTATTTAAAGAGATTTTAAAATTTTTTTAAAGATTTAACTTTTATTCAACAGTAACTTACGCTATACTTTTTCTGTAATTTTGCTCGGATTATATTCATTTTAAAAATGACTGATACATTAGCACAAAGTGATGAAAATGACGGGATTATTTAATTACAATTACATACAATAATCATTAATGCTTTTTTGCGTTAGTTGTTTTGATTAAATCCTAAAAGAGACCTTAATGTTTACACACGATAACTTGGAATTTTCAATTATTTTTCATTTTCTTTGGATAGATGAATTTAGTTAAGTTTTTATTATTATAATTAAGTTAGCCTTGCTCTTTATGCTATTTTTATAGTACAACTTTTAAATACACACATATCGATAGATTTTTTAAGAGATGTTTTGTATTTTTAAAACACACTGGTTCGAATAGACAAATAAATTATTTAATACCTTTTTAACTCGAGTTTCAAAAATATAGAACAGTAAAATATTTTATAAGTTAAATTTGAATTTATTAAAGTTGTAATTTTGAAGAATTCTCAAAATTTCAGTATGAAAAAAATTTTTACTGTAATTTTAATTTCTATTTATCATAATTTTAATTTTAATTATTTATCGATTTCGAACTTTCTTTTAAATATATTTTATCTCTGTCTATCTGTGTGTGTATTTAACAGAAATAACATTTCACATTAATTATTCAATAAAAAAAAATATTTTTAGAGATCTTAATTTATAAAACACATATTTTTGAAGAAAAATAAAAAAATTTTTAAGTTGATAATTTTTTTTTTAACAAATAAAAAAAAAATTTAACATTTTTTTTGTTAAAAAAATATCTTTTTATAAAATTCAATTTTTTTTTTGAATATTACAAATTTAAATTAAAGAATTTGAAAATTAATATCTCTAACAGTATTAATTAAATGAATTTTTAAAATTTGATGTAAGTAAGCAAAGAGAGTAATTTAATAAAATGTGAAATGTTGTTTAAATATTAGGAAGAAAACAAAAATGAACTGGCCACTCAAAAATTGAAAAAAAAAAAAAAAAAAATTCACTCAAAAATAAATAATATTATTTTGGTGGCCAGTTCATTTAAGACTTTCTGCCTCATACTTGTCGTAATATTGTACACGTTAAAGTTTCAGTCATATGAGCCGTGATAAGTGCGAAATCCAAAACGAGTATCTATTTACGAGTACATAAAAAAGTTCTGTACGGTTGTTCACACATGTACAGTATAATATTTACGGTTACATACTCATTCTTAACATTATGGTAATTTATCTTTTATAAGTTTTTGTTCATTTTATACGAAAGTTTGGTCCAATAGAACATTTAAATGTTTTATAATAATATCTGTTATGTGTATGTTTATGTCCAAGATAGTTTTTTTATACTTTCTTCATCCTCAGTAATTTTTTTTTCTCATCACATTATCCGTAGTATACTTAAATAGATATAATAATATGAGAACTTGCGGGAATAGGCTTAGTACTATGAGTGGGTGGAAATTTTTGTTTATTTAGCGTGTAGGTACTTCGTTATTCATCATCAATTTTTTTTCAAATTTCTGATAAAATTGTTGCGCCAAAAACGTGATTTCCTTAATAATTTTGAAACGTTAGCAAATATTCAGGCCCTAATTTCTTCTGGTTCTTCATTTTGGTTAGTGTTTTATAGTTTTTCTTTGTATAATGTAAATTACTTAAAATTATGCTGCTCGATCATACTAGTTTCAAACATTATTCTATCCACGCCTTAATTTATACTCTTCTTTATCTACTTTGATCCATTGATATCATTTTCACATACCCTATTGAGTCTTTCATTAATTAAATTTAATAATTAAATGGAAATAATTAGTCCGCCATACCATTTACGGCAGAAAATTTTCCATTTGTATAAAAAATTTCGGACTAATAGAAATTGTTCGAAAAAAACCCGCGTAGAAATTTCTTCAGAATTTATTTTTTTTAATTAGCCTATTATCTTTAAATTGTTTCTTTTTTTTTCAATCTTTCTAATGTTTTGTTCTAAATTGTTTTTCGATCATCCACAGTAAAACACTGCCAATATAATAATTATCGATTGATGAATGACAAATAAAATTCCTGAGGATAAAATTTGATTTTCTTTCATGAACTTTCATTCATTTTATTAAGTGTAAATAATGATTTTTTTTGTCTAACTCGAAAATAATTTCAACTATTTTATTCGTCATTCAGCAATAGATATTATTTTTATTGAATTACATATAATTAGCGAGACAAGAATATAAGTTTTACTATAATCTTATATAACTTTTACTTAAAAAATTCTATTCCATATGTTATTTTTTTTTTTTTTATTTATCATTATGTCCACCCAGAAGAATTGAGACTCTATATAATATTGTCGCCATGTGAAAATGCCTTTGTTTCTTGATTTTATTTTTTTTAGCTCACGCTTTCTTCTTAAATAGCGCACGCCAATAAAAGTTTTGGCTTGCTATTTTTTATTTATTTAGTTTTTTTTTCTAATCTCATATTTCGTAATGATCAAAAATATATGTATATATTTATATATATTTATAATATTCTTAAATATAATTATGTTGCTTTTTAATAGTTAATTAATGTTAATTATCGGTAATTATATTAGTTAGTTTTACATTGATAGAGGAAAAAATATGTTGTGTCAATTTTCATTATTTTTTCACCTGCCCTTTGTATATATTAACATATATATATTTATGAACCATCACATACTTAAAGTTCAAATAATATTAGTATGTATTCACAATGAGTAAGTGTGCGGGTGTTTTAAATGATCGTGCGCATTTGTATCTTTTTTGTTTTGTTAATTGTCTTGTGTTATACAGTTTGTATTTTGTCTGCGAGTTAATTTAGGTTGTCTCTAGATATATTTATCGATGTATGAAGTTTACTTCCACGTATATTTATGTGTAATTTGAGTAATTAAGTTTATGATAAATGGTATGATGATTTTATACGATTCTATATCGTTGCCAAATATGGCATTTGTTATATCTCTTCGAATAGTATTCAGTAATTCTTATACTATACCACGCAATAGACCTGCGCGTTTTTTTATTTTATTTTATAAATTATCATCATCATCATAAGTTAGTTTTTTATTTTAAACTAATATAAATACTTTTACCACTGATTAGTAAAAATTGATAAATTTTATATAATTTAATCACCCGCAGGACTTTTTTAAAAGTTTCAATTTAAATTGCGTAGCTTATAAATAATTTAAAAATTTTCACCTAACTTATTAAAATATTAATTCGCCAATAACAAAAATAATATAATCGGTGTCATAAGACAATTTAAATAAAAAGATCAAACAATCTTTTAAATACTTGCGTCAAAGAAGATGATGACTTGTTTAGTAATTATTAAGTATAATCAAAAATGATCTCTAATTATATAATATTTTGTTTGCTTTCTTTGATCTGTTTGTTAACGAGATGATACTAACTTTTTGTTTACTGCTCTATAGAGTCTTCCATACTCAGTGGAGGGTTGCAAGGCTCCTGGGCAGGTTGGGTCGCCGGCTGAGAGTTTGTCGGTTGGTTTCCGTCGGTAGATCTACTATTTGCACCGGTATACTCTTTTTGCAATTGCACTAGTCCGCTTACATTTGCAAATTCCTTTTGGTGCGAATAGGAATGTTGAGTTTTCTGATTCGAATGATCTATTTTAAGCTTACTATCACAGGCACTTTTTTTGTCGGTTGATACGGGATAGAGGTTGTGTACATCCGAGTAGTTATTCAGCTGTTGTTGCTGTAAACTCACCGTTTTATTTGATTCGCGGTCATCTTTACCGCCATTGTAAACCTCTTGTTCTCTGTTGCTTTTATCTACTTTAGAATCTCTAGTATCCTCGTCTCTACTTGTAGTTCTAGTGACGACCAAGGGGGTCGCCGGAGAAGTAACGCGGTCATTTGTTTGGTCATCAACTTTCGTCCCATCGGGTGAAGGGCTCAAGTCAACGGTAGGAACTCTTTCAGGTCTCTCAGGCAACGATTTTGTCGTTGCTCCTCGATAACTCTCGTCTTCACTGCTGTCTTGCGCCCCTCTGGATAAGGGTGTCCTTCTAGGATTCCGACAGAGTTGGTCCAACAAAGCTTTGCTTCCAATCACGTCTGAGTGATAGTGTCCTACTGGGGTTGATGATTGACCTTCTGTACTTAACCGCTGCTCTCTTGGAATACCTGTTTCAAGACTCGATCTGATCAGATTATCTAAAAAGCTTCCGTTTACACCACTGCCATCGTAAAGACTTTCAGCCATTTCTCGGGTTGTTTTTACAATCGACGAACCTCGGGAATTCGACGTTCCTGGTTCTGAATCAGTACCAGCGGTATCTTTATCCCTTTGCTGTTGTACTATTGCACTTCTCTGCTGTTCCTGCAAGCCTCGTATTCTTTGTGTTGCAAAGTACTGCTCGGGGAGCATTGTCGGTACATTAGAAGCACCAGGAATGAAAGGCGAAGACATAAATGGCGGTGGGCCCCAAAAGTTAAATGGATGGGGAAAGGGCAAATGCGGCAGATTTTCTAAAAATGGCGGAATTTTAAGACCATTTGGACCTGATATACTTCCTGGACCAGTTGCAAATGTTTTTTGAGTTTTTAAAGGAGCTTTTTTGTCTTGAGGACCAGATCGTACCGTAGCAGTGGTAGTGGTCGATTCCTTGGCTTTGTCATCCTGAGGTTTTTGATCTCTATGGAATTAAATAAATTAATATTATTAATACCTTATCAATGTATAATTATTACACGTGTCAAAAGAAAAAAGGCGCATAATTTATTTTTTTATCGTCAATCGACTGGTAGACATATTCTACATTGAAAAAAAAAATTAACTTGATTCAAAAGAAAAATTCTTGAACCAAGAAAATAATTGTGAAGAGTTTCATTGTCTTGAATCATGACGAAAAATTCTTGAATTAAGTAAAATTTACTTAAACCAAGAAATATTTCTTAGTTTATAAGAATTGTTCTACTCAAATCAAGAAGATGAAATTCTTCAAAATTATTCACTTGATTCAAGTAAATTTTTTTTCTGTGTACGCATAAAAATCAAACGTTTGATTCTCCAAAGCTTAAAGGGCTTATGTATTTAATTAAGTACCCTTTTAGTTTTAAGGAATTTAAAATTTTATGATCTTAAGCTAAAAAGACTTATAAATTTTTTTTTCCGAGCGATTTACTAAAATGCTTATCTTGAGTCTAAAAATTAAAAAGAATTAACATTTTTGAATTAAAAAACAAATTATTCTGATTTATTATGGCGTACCTATAATCCAAGATAATAGTTAAAGAAAAAATCAGTTAATTTCGGTTTTTTTTTAATAATTTTTAAGAAAAAAAATTATTTTATTATTTAATTTTTTATGAACTTTCATAAAAAAAATGTGTCGTCAGTCATGTGAATTTTAAATTTAAAAGGCCATTCGGCACCGAAATGGAAGTAGATTTCATTTTATTTCATTTCTGTGGACAAAACAACTGCAAAAGTAAAATTTTTTAAAAATCATCCTAAGATGGATATTTTTTTATTTAGAAAAACATGTAAATATGCAAATTGAAGCTTAATTTCTCAGCTTTCAGATGCATTTTACAGAAATTGAATATCTTAACGTGTTCAAAAGTTATTTGAAGGAGATGTAGTGAGAGTATGAAATTTTCACAATTTTAAAATGCTGTAATTTCTAAACTAATTGACTGATTGAACTCATACAATATTTGCACTTTACCTTCGTAATGAGTCATACCTTTTTAAACCATATATGTATTTTCCGACTCAGCTTGTCGAGTTAGGTCGAAATATAGCAAAATTTTTAAAAAGTTACGTTATGAGGACAAATACTATAGTTAGATTTTTATGAAATCTACTAAAAACAGAGTAACTGAGAAACTAAGCAATTGTTTTCGTTTTGTTCCTTTTTATAATAATTAAGCTTTGTCTACTAGACAGTTTTTTGGATCTAACTTGTCTTGTGAAACTGCTTGTCAACATTTTGAATTAAAACTTATATTTTTTTTCGCCTTTATAGCTTTAGGCACTACTTTTTTAAAAGTTTAACCCGTCAGCACTCACGTTATGAGCATTTTGCTCACGCAACAACATCCGACTTATAGAGCGGCGCTGTAGTGCAAGTGAGACACTAAAATTCACGTGAGTTCTGACGGGTTAAAGGGCGCATGTCTTGAGATACCTCCTTTTAGCTTTAAGATGCTTAAATTATTTTTTTACATGATCTTTGTATTTTGAACTATTTTAAAACAAATTTTTTTGTGCGCCTTTTACTTTTTCGCACGTGATTATTTATCATAATTATTTACCTTTTTCTTGGTCTCATAAGATGTCTTTCTTTAACTTTATACTCTAAAGTGGAATGCGGTACACCATAGTAACTTCCTGCCCTGTGAACGCTCATTTCTCCTCTTTGTACAGCGCGAACAGCTTCAACAAGACTATCCCTATCATAATTTCTATATTTTCCTCTTTTGGGTCTAGTACCCTTGCCACCAGCACTTGCTTTTGATTTACTATCTTGGGATTGAAGTTTTTGTTGCTGTATTTGTGACTGCTGCTGAGATTGGGGCTGCTGAGGTGGTGTATACCGTCCTCTTTTATACGGATTCGAATCACTGAGTATTGCGCTGGCTTGGCCTGGAGCCGAGGGCTGACCAGCCAAATTAGATTGTCCTTCTTGAAACTTTGAGCTAATACTTTTAGCTATAACGTCACGAAAATTGACGCCTACTCCTTTACCAACAAGAGAATTGGTGGGACTACTTGTGCCTGAGAAGGCTGGACTTGCGCGTTCTATAAGACCAGGACTCGTTGCAGTACCAGATATCGCTGCAAAACCTTGGGCAAATGCAGTTGATGTTGGTTCCCCGTTATTTTTGCTTGAACCTGATGTGCCCGCTGGCTTGTAGGACGGAATTTTCAGTATAGCTCTGCCTTGAGCACTGTCACTCGCTTCTTCTTCAATTGCCGGATTAAAATCATTATTCGTCATAGGAAGATTTTGTTGAGCTTGTGATGACTGATGGAATTGATGGGAATGAACCAGCTGTTGCTGATTTTGATCTCCGTTTAGGTTATTGTGTGTTCTCTTGTCTTCAGTCATTAGCCGTTTCATAGCTTCAGGTATTTTGTAGTCTTGAGACTCCAAGTCTGCAAATAAATAAATATTAGAGAATTGTTGATTTTAGTTGGCACAAATAACTACACTTAATAAAATATTTGAAATTAGTTTCTATCGATTTTTGAAAGCTTACAATGACTGGTCGTAGGTGTTAAGTACTGCAGACCAAGAAAATTTCAAAAAAAAATATATTCTGTTAAAAGTGACTTAATTACACTTTTTAGCTTGATAGAAACTTAATTTTATTAATTAACTACACGGAAAAAAATTTATTTTGAAAAAACGAGCAATGTAATAAGAAATAAATTTATTGAAAATCTTAAACAATTCTATTTTTTAGCTGAAGAAATAAAAATTTTTTTCACAGTAAGTTTACACGGAAAGAATAAGATTACACTGGATAACATTCTAGATTATACTTAGTGACATCTGTAGTGAAAAGAAATTTCAGATAGTAGCTAGTATAAATCCAAATTGTACTGAGTGATATTTGGGTTATACTCATTGTATTATCCCATTTCCCACAGTGAAATCTCAAAAAGTTTGGAAAATCCAAAAGTGCACACCTCATAACGCTCATTCATTTTTTAAGAAAAAAATTAATTGTGTAATTGATTAAAAAAAAAAAAATTATAATTAAGTAATTTCTTACAGAGTATTTTTTATTTTTTTTTAAATATCGGCGCCCTTTCTTCTTGTCATGCGCGCACGCAGTCTAAAAAAATCTAGCTTGATCAAGTGGCGCCATAGTTTTCACGTGACAAATAAGGAAAGTTCGTATAGCTTTGTACGGTTGTATCGTAGTAAATTTTAATAAAAATTCAATTTAAAAAAAAATACGTAAGCTAGGCCACTGATATGCAATACGGACCCAGTTCATCGAATTCTTAAACTAATAAAAAAGATCCGGTCTTGAAATATCAATTTGTTCGGGAGTAATCGTTGGTACATCCAAAATGGGGTGACATCCGGACGTCCACGTAAAATTTTTTTCAAAACGTTTTTTTTTTTCAAAATAGCAACATGAAATGATTTTAGAAAATAACAGATGGTTTAATTTAAGTGTTTTTTCGGTGTACATCTACTTATATCATTGTATAAGTGTAATATGATTGTGATAGAGGCATTTAAAGATCACAAAATTGCTTGATCTTAACGAGTCGAGTATAAAGCACAACCTCACGCGCTTCGCGCTATGAGGCGTGCAATATACTGCGTAAGATTCCACTGGATATAATCCGAGATTTTATCCTATAGAATTTGGATTATACTCAGTAGAATCTTGGATTATACCCGCGATAACACTCAGTATAATCTAGATTATACTAGTGGATTATACTAGCTACTATCTGAAATTTTTTTCACTACAGATGTCACTGAGTATAATCTGGAATGTTATCCAGTGTAATCTTGTTCTTTCCGTGTAGTTAAAAAAATATTTTATTTTAATTGGGAAAAAAGTAATTTTAAATAGACAACTTGCAAATTTTCATCCAATTTTTTTTTTCTAAATTTAAAAAACTGTTTTTCATCAAAATAATTTTTTGTTTCTTCAGCTAAAAAATAAAATTGTTTAAATTTTAAACAAATTTATTTTTTATCACAAATTTTTTTTCTCTCAGTGTACTAGATCAGTAAAATATTAACCTTTAAATGGTGCTGCAGCAGCAAGCATTTTCTGAATGTATGGACCGATGTTAGGATGCTCAAAGCCTGGCCATTCCGTGCCGGATTCTTGGCCACGTTGAAGCAGAGTCCTAAGTGAGTCTCCACCTCCAGCTTCTAAAGCCGAAAATCTTACGAGATCTTCCAGTGAAAGTAAAGGTTTTAATAAAGCTTTCTCAACTTCTTTCTCGTCTTCAGCACCAGATAGTTCCTTGTCATCCGCCTGCAGAAAAATTAATCTCTTTTATCTTCCATTGAACAGTTCTTACAAAAGTATTTAATACTATCATTCTCGAGTAAATGATTGTTCTAACATTTATTTTTAAATTTGTACGATTGTGTGATAAATAACTTTTCAATGTATCTGTCTTGAAGAAATAGTGTTTGATGTTTTAGTTTACATATGTGTTTCGAATAGAGTGGAGTCTCTGCAACTTTTACTGGGATCAGTTTTAAATTTCCGAAGTCTAAGTTAGATAACAAAAAAAGTTGGAGAGACTCCACTGTATCTTAGTTGGACGCACAATAATCAAGCGTCATGCAGGTATGAGATAACATCGAGCAAAATTGATAGTATTTTACACGAATGTATAAATTTTATTAAATTAAATAAATAAATATTGACTGCAGTTATCACTATGACACGATACTGTGTACATTATTTTTAGTAGGTCATACTGAGACAACTTATTTGGAGTTTGAAATTATGATAATTATTTCATTTATCTTGATAAATCAATTTAATTAGAATATATTATATTTGTAATAAGAATTATTCGAAGAAAGTGTTGTCCCATTGAATTATTGCTCTAATTATTTCAGTTTCGCACAGATATCACAATCGAATTTCTGCCATTTAGACGAATATTCATTTTATCATTTCTAATTTAAATAAATTGTGATTTCTTTAAGGAAGTTCATGCGTAAGACTTGATAGTAGATATAAATTTATAATTTTTAGTTTTAATAAGTTTAATTATAGCGATCTTCCTTCAAAATTTTAAAATTCGTTATTGATTATATCAAAATGTTATTAACGATTAAAAATTAGATTTTTAAAATACAACCTTAGGGCAGATCAGCATTTTTTGAATTTGAAAAAATTATCTGAGTCATGCAGTTTTTATAAATTCATCAAAAAGATAGTGTTGACAAACGTTTAAATTAATTATTTATTATTTTACTTGGTACAATTAAAATTATTTTAGTTGATTTTTGACCATACTGAAAACAAGCACTTTAATTCAGCTTTTTACATGGTTAGAAATAACAGATGTGTCAAATTTAATAAACAATAAAGATGGACGACAAATCAACGACTAATATATTTATTGATTTTTTAAAGAAGATGCTTAAAAAATATTTCAGGTAAACAAAAAAAAATTTTAAATCATTATATGATTGTTGATACATTTAAAAATTTTTCTCAAGACCTCAATAAATTTCATAAAAAGGTATAATATTCATTTAACTCTAGCGTAGCACATGAACATCCTTAAATTGTCCATCAAATGCAAATAAGTCAGCACTAATAATAATCGAAATAGAAAATAAAAATTTATTTTTTTCAAAAAACTTATTCAAAGTGTTTTTATATAAAATTTTTGAGTATTTAATTTTTCAACTTTTTCAATATCCTACTATAAGAACCGAGTTTCTATCAGACCTTCATTGAAAACTTTTTTTAATTAATTAATTAAATTAATTCATAAAATTCCCATTACGTTTAAAAATTTTTATCAAGATCCCAAAAAATTAAATAAAAAGTATTCAATTGACTCTAGCCTAGCGCATGAACATCCTTGTCGGCATTTATTTTAGAAGAGACATGACAAAAATAATTTCGATGAGAAGAAATTATAACAAGCGAGTTTTTTTATAAATTTTTTTGTGACCCGACAAAACTTCAAATTTTATTTTTAGGTGAGAATAGAGCCTTTGTATTATCTTGCTTAAGGTTTGAAAAATTCTTAGCTGAAATATAAACATTCATTAAAGATTTAAGACCGAAATTATCGAAAGATAAAGTAGGAATTTTTTTCAGAATAAATTTTCTGGTTAAAAAAAGTGAAAAATGAAATTTAACTTCGAAAAGTCAACTATTATTTATGCGTGCATCTAAATGATATTTCAAGCAGTACAGCGCGAAAATTGGTATCCTGCATAATTTTTATTTATTACACAAAATACATTTAATAATATGAAAAAATATGTATCAAATGCATTGCAAAAGAAAATAAACGAACCTAAGCTCAGTATAATGAAAATAAAAGAATAATTATACGAATTATCTTTGTGAATGTTTGCCCAAAACTTACCTCGATTTTCAGAATTTTTCGGACATCAAATAGCCGAATGTTTAACTACAAATATTGATAACGATATTAAAAATGATAGTTCATGCGGAATTAAAAGAAAACTAATGGATATTTAAAGTAATCTGGAATTATACCGATTTTGAGTTTTATTTTCGGTGCTCATGTGTAAATCATGCAGATGCTTACTCTATACGGATTCATTAATTATTAGTCATGCTAGAGGTTCGTTTTGGGGAAGCTCCATTCCTTCTCTCTAATCAAATATATTAGAGATTCAAAGAATATAAGATAAGATCATCTTAGAGATAACAAACGAGAAATCGAGTTACTTGTAAGTAAAGAACGAAAATTTATTTATTTCGCGGTAATAAGTAAAATTATTTTCATACTGATGATCCTAATTTAAGAGTTAAGTAGAGGATTTCGACACGGAATATTACTTGTATTTTGTTAAATTTTAATTTTAATAATAACACCCGAATATTTTTTATACAGAATTAGAATCTGCTAGGATCTCGTTATTCTGTAAATGTAATTTTATTTATTGGTAGCTTACTATAGAAACAATTGCAATTTTTCAAAGAAAATTTCAATGTATTTTTTAATTTTGGATGAAAAAAATTTAATATTGTAATTAATCAAAAATAGATCGGATCTATAGTTAGGAGTACTTTTTAGGAGTAGTTCTTCAATGTCAGCCTTGTAACGCATCTTACTACTTCTTACCACAAAAATTGAAAATTTACAGAAAAAAAAATTATGAAAAGAAAAATAACTTTTTATTCAACAATATAAGTTTGTATAGGGGAGGGGGGGGGCGAAATGGGGTAGGGGTGGCAAAATGGGGTACCCCCAAAATTTCGT